CAGGACAGCTGGGGCTACAGGGAGACCCTGTCTCAAAAAGACCAAAAAAACAAACAAACAAACAAAAAAACTGACCAAAACTAATTTGGGGAGGAAAGGGTTTATTTAGTTTATAAGTAAAGTCCATATGGCATCAAGGGGAGCCAAGGCAGGGACTCAGGGCAGGAACCCGAAGCACAGAGCATGAGGGATAGTTTTTTTTTTACTGGCTTGCTCCCCAATCCATGCTCAGCCTGCTTTCTTTATAATACGGGATAACCTGCTCAGGGGTCGCACCACCCACGGTGGGCTGGGCCCTTCCATATCACTCAACAATCAAGAAAATACCCCACAGACATAGCCACAGGTATCCAGCGCAGCATGCTTTGATTTGAAAATTCAGAGACGTCAAGAAACTCATAAAGAGCCATGGGAATAAAGGCCTCCTGGGAGCTGGGAGGGGCAGTAGAATGCAGTGACATGGAGGGGAAAGGGGAACATTGGAGTAGGAAGGATTAAGTGGGATGGGGAGTGGGAAGGCACGGCAGAGGAAGGAGTAAGGAGGGATAAGTAACACTAAAGGCCTTTGGAAAACGCCATATGAAAACTTACCACTATAGAAGCATCTTAAAGTAAATACATCATAAAAGGAGATTAAAAGTCGTTATCCTATAACAGCAATACATTGCCCCTTCTAGACATAATAAGCTAATGGAAAAAAATAAATAACCTCAATGCCAGGAATGGACTCCCTCTCTAGAAACTGTTGACCAGAGGTCCCATGAATCCTCAAACAATACTAGCCATTGGCCCTGCTCTTGGTTACCCACCAGAACTGGGTGGTAAGAACATACTGTTGAAGACCCTACACTCACGAGCTATAGAACAAGGAGAAATCAAGCTGGAGAAAACTTTAGAGCCTCATCTCTACCTGCTAGCATCTATAGTGCTGGAAGGTGCTATGCAGGCTACCAGAAGGAAAAAATAATTATCAGCCCTACCCAGCTGTGAATCCTGTTATATACAATAACAACTGGCCTGTCAAGATATGCCCACCCAAGCAAAAGTGGCATGAATACAGTCAGGAACCAAACCACTCTTTAACTGGATTTAAGGTCCACTCCATAGGATAGATCCCATACCTGACATTGATATCAGGGTTAGGAACCTGAGACTAGACAGGCCACAGGATATAGGGGAAAACCTAGTACTAGTTTTCTATTAAGTCGTCATCCTATTAAACTGACTTCTAATGACTTGTTATACCCATAGATTAATGGATCTCTTACCTCTCACCAGAGAAGTTTACTTATGCAGCAGGTGGTGATTAACACAGAAACCCACAACTGGCAATGTACAGAGAAAAAGAGGATGCAGATTTATCCCTGAATAAGACACTTACATCAAACTTCTGCCTCCCAAGGCTAAGGGATGATTGCAGAAGAGGTGGTAGAAATACCGCAAGAGCCAGAGATGGTGAATGACCACAGGGAAGCAGAGTTTTCCAGACAGCTGGTGAGCTACTCATATGAGCTCACAGCAATGGTGACAGCATGCACAAGTCCCATGCAAGCTCAAACCAGACAGAATCCCAGCATGGACATAGGAGGTGGGTAAGAAATCCCAAGCCAATCTAAGAAAATTTTGCTGGGAGGGGCAGAGACGATCTCAAGGATGAGACTCTTGGTAGGTTAACCAGGCTCCAGTGAATGGAGTCACAATGAAGGACATTTGGTGACACAAATTAAACTCTATAGCCCTTATTATAAAGGAGGTGGGTAAGAAATCCCAAGCCAATCTAAGAAAATTTTGCTGGGAGGGGCAGAGACGATCTCAAGGATGAGACTCTTGGTAGGTTAACCAGGCTCCAGTGAATGGAGTCACAATGAAGGACATTTGGTGACACAAATTAAACTCTATAGCCCTTA